TATTATTATTATTATTATTATTATTATTATTATTATTATTATTATTAGTATTATTATTATTATTATTATTATTATTATTATTATTATTATTATTAGTATTATTAGTATTATTATTATTATTATTAGTAGTATTATTATTATTAGTAGTATTATTATTATTAGTAGTATTATTATTAATATTATTAGTATTATATAGCTAAGACCACGATCGATACGCCTATTAACCACGGGCGCGTAATAAAAGTAAAATCGATAAAACTATCGGGATAAAGATTATAACTACTACCTCCCTCCTAGGATACTATTATAGCGGCACCGTAATACCGGCGCTATAGTATAGCAGGAAGAGTTATAGGATAGCGTCGCCCCGGCCTTAACTATACAGAATTCGTAACGGACCTACTTTTTATAATATAAGCGCTCTCCCCCCCGCCTATAGCAGGATATAGCGCGGAACCAATATAAAACCGAAAAGGGACTACCGCGCCCCCCGGAACCAAGAGTAACTAAGATTAGGGCAGAAATTCAGGCCCCATTAGCTAACAGGAATACGATTAACTAGGTCGTAGAGCTAATAAAGGAATTAATCACGATACGTAGTACCCGTAAGGATACCGGTACGATACCGCTAATATACCTATATACTATTATTTATTATATTATCCGAGAGGAACTCCGAAAAAGGATAAACGGTATAAAAAAGACCTAGGCTAATATCATAGCCCGGGCTCCCGTAATGGCACCACCGCGGGACCCTATACCCCCTAAAATAATCCCCGCTAGGTATTACCGGGAACTAATTATCCGCCAAAGAACCCTCCTAAAAGACTAGCCCCTTAAGGATAGGACCCTAAAGGAGATTATCTAAGCTATAAACGCTATAACTACCCGATACGATACCGTAGCGGTATAGAAGCTACCGAGTAGAGATATCTACCTTACCTTTACTAAAGGGGTATAGTAGTAGGCTACCTATAAGGAATAATAGATTAAGAAGGCCTTTAGTAAAAGAGTTACCCTAGCCGCACGTACTTACCCTACGCTGGCTAAGGCTATCCCCCGGGAGGTCCTTAACGCCCTATCCGAAGAAGACCTATTAGTATCCCTATAGGATATAAACCCCGAGGTAAAGATTATCCGAGTATAATAACGGGTACCCCGCCGCGGTACCGGTAGGGTAGCGCTCCTCCTTATCGAATCGGCTTCGCTGGAAGGGGTAGCGAGCCTTATCCGGAATACCCTCCTCTTTAAGGGGGGTAACTATATCGATAAACTATATAACCCCGACCTTAGCCCCCTAAAATACTATAAGTGCCTATACTTCGGCTACTAAGTAAACGGCTACCCTATAATAAAGAGGGTATACCGCTACTACGCTAAGCCCGAATTAGCGCACCCCTAAGGCCTAGGATATTATAAAGCTACGGTGCCGGGGCGCCCTTACCGTTACGCCGCCTATACCGGAGACTATAATACCTTTAATAATTTATACTAACTACTAAAAAAAAAGGCTAAAAAGACCCGCGAAGTGTATAAGTACTAAGCCAGGGACTTTAATATTACCTGCTAGACCGAAGCGGTATACCCGCGGTAGCCGTAGATATTTCCCCTGATTATTATCGCCTAGGACTAGGACTAACCCTTCCGTAAAGATAGGGGTCGGCCCATGAAGAGGATTAGGGGATAGGAGGGCTCCCCGATACTAAGCCCGATAAGCGCCTATATAGTCCCCCGCGGGACCGATAAGGCACCGTAGTAGGAATCCTAAAGCTAGACCCCGGTTATACCGGGTATATTATCTTAAACCCCCCCCCCCTTTAATTAATAGAAATCTATATCCTTTCGTGGAATATAAGGAGGAGTTAGGCGCGGCGGGAGCTACCGCTCCGGTGCTAAGCCGAGTACGATATAATTGTAATTTAGGAACCCGGCCTTAACCGCTTTATAAAAAGCCCCGTATACCCCTCCTAAAGGGTATACCGGCTAATCTAAGGAGGAGGCCACGCCCTCTTATATATCTATAAAAGATACCCGCTATATACGTGGATATAACGAGCCTACCACGATACCTATACGGTTATATTCAGGACCGGGGATAATACTCTTATAATCTAATTAATCTACTTAGAGAACTACTAATCGGCTAGGATCCCCTAGAATACGCCCCTATAAGATATATTCGACACGGCACCGCTATAAGGCCGATATATCTTTATAGGGGACTTTAACCTATACTACCCCCTATAGTTATAGCTACCGCGGTACTACCCCTAAGCCGATACCCTATTTACCCTTATAACCCGGTAGAACCTTAACCTAGTAACCCCCCCCGGAATAACTATATAGTACCGCTTAGGCCGGTATACTAGTATTATCGACCTTATATAGGTAATGTAAAGGCTCCGCTACGACTTTAGCGGCCCGGATAAGACCGTTATCGGGTCTAACTATTACTTATAGATAGTCCGAATCCTTATAAAGACGGACGCCTCGCCGACTACCGCGACGATACTATTATAGGACCTAGCCGGGCCCCGCTAGGTCTAGAAAGACTTTAACCCCTTATAAGTCCCCTAGCTCGCCACTACACGGCTATAATAGACCGGCCCCCTTATATTACTAGAAGATATCGACTTAGCACTAGATAACCTAATAGTAGACCTTATAATTATAGCCGATAAGGTCGCGCCGCGCCGCCGTAAGGGTACCCTTAGACGGCTATCCACCCTTTAATAAAACACAGAGCTAACCACCCTTACCTAGGAAATAAGGCGCCTTTACCGTAGATATATATCCAGAAAATCCCGGAACCGATAGGACGAGTTTTAGGAAGCGGAGAGGCGCCGGAATAAGGCTATAGCGGTAATAAAGCGGACGTATTAACGGTAATTACTTCACTTAACCGGGAAGGACGATAGCCTTCTTTAGCGGCTATAGAAATAAGTATAAACTAAAGGGGCGTACTACCGGACCCCCTATTAGTGCTACTACTATACTAAGACGATAGCGCCTACCCGGTAACTCTATATATAGAGAAGGCCGAGGTCCTAAACCGGAAGTTCTCCCCCCCCC